TTTTCCAGAGTCATTTCTTGTGATTACATTTTCCCACAGGCCAACAACAGCTTCAACAAAACTATTTCCCTCAAAGAGAAACCAAACATGCCCTGTTGTCCTGAGAGAGAAAGTGCAGAAGGAAACATCCATTAAACTCAGTGTGCTGCTCTGTGATGCTAGCTCAGATACTTGGCATCTCATCTTGGGTGCAAGGTCATCAATGTTTGGGCTCAGGCTCTGAGCTGAGGAGACCCTCAGGATGGAGTGAAGGTGTGCGTGCAATATACCGGCGGGCCAGATCTAATAGGAATTAGAAATTATCCTGCGGGCTGAAATTAAATCCACCAAGGGCCTGATTTGGCCCCCGGGCCTCGAGTTTGACACATGTGGTCTAAGACGATATAATCATAAATCTGCGTGACAAAAACCAAGACAATCTCTCCGATAAAAGTCACCGAGTTCAGACACTTTCCTCTCATCGATTATTTGAGCCAGAAACTTTTTCAGTCTTGAATTTATGGTTTTGAGAATCTCAGAGAATACATAACTTTTGTTTTATCCTCGTAAAGCTACCAGTGTAGTCTCAGAGAATCACCACGTGTTTCTTTTCTTGCTGATCTCAAAAATACAGATTGACTTTTACCCAATGGACCGAACACACGATTATCCACAGCATGTTCAGACCTGGATGTTTCTCGCCTGCATTGGCCGTCATACAACTCTCTAAGTGTGAATCAACAAGCTCGTACAGCGTAAAAACATAACTCCATAATCAGCATTTTATTACACTTTCACTCTATTGGGAAGCTTTCCAACGGACACAAACCAAATCCCAGTTAAACCGCCCTCTGCGGATCATGTTCACAGCACCGTGTAACTTCCACTAGTTATAACGTGTGTTTTAGGGTTAAGAACAAGCATCAGGTCTAAGTGATATGATCAGTGGATGTTCACTTCAGTTTCATTTCCTCTTTAGATTATACTGCTGACATCACACACAGCTGGCATCCACTTCTTTCTATCATGGGTGCGCTTCTCCTCGGGTTAGACGTGTGTTTTCTAAGCTCAAGTAACCTTTGTTGGTAGCATAGAGAAGAAGGAATAACTTAGTTTCTAGTACTGTATCTCAGGGGAATAGACAAGACTTAATAAAAGGATATGAGCCATGGTGAAAGTACCCTTGATTAAGAGCACCTGAATGAACGTCTGCAGAAAGTGAAACTTAAAGTGTTTTTCGATTCTTTACGGTTAAGCTCAATTTAGAAAAACCACAATGCAAACAAAGAACACAAACATTTTAAAATGCCGTAAATAAAAATACCTTTGTGTTTTTATTTATTCACCTCTCAAAGCATCTTAAACAAAGGGATTTTCTTACTGACTAATTTCCCTGCAGTTAACGTTAAGACTTTTTAACGACCACTCTGATTCATTTTCATACCACGTGTTTTCTGCTATTTTGATTTTACAACGCAATATCAGAAAAGAAAATCCGGCATTATGAAATCTTTCCTGTTAAGCAAGATTATTAAGGACATTTTAAAAACCTATTACGGCCTTTATTCACAACTAATGATTCATTTTAAAGTATTAAACCCTGCTAAAAGTAAGACAAGCAATCAGCATTGCGGTGAAACATTGAGCATGTCCACCTACGCTTCGTTAACATTGGTAGAAGGCACATACTGTTTTGTTAACGGTACAATTCACTAGGCAAGCAAACCAGTATTAATAATAACCGTTTAAATAATACGTTTTAATACTTTGCCAAACTTAAAAAGAAAGGAGGATTGTTTTATCATTCATTTTTTGTATGAACGCCATGTTTTTTACCCGTGTAAGCACCACAGTGATCTTCCAAACAGATATATTGTATGTAAAGGAAGCAGCGATCTCGTTGACGGTCTAAGCTCGCTGTGTTCAGGCTGGTTAGAGGCGTGATAGTGCGACTTCAGTGTTTGCCAAATAACTTCCTGTGGTGGTTAAACTTCACTTCTCAGTTTCATTTCAGTTAGACTATACTTCTGCTTACTGCGTCTCAGAGAGAGGCTCAAAATGTCTCCTTTTGTCCGTTAAAAACCCACTGATTTTACTTTCAAACGATAGAAAGCAGAGGTTGTTCTTTTAAGGGCATACTACCTGCTTTATATGAGATCACCTCCTATATTTGCATATTATTTGCGTTTATGTCCTCTACCTGCTTGATATGAACGTATTAGTCTCACCACATCCCGATTCGTCTTCAACTTCTTTAGTTTACTTGCACTTGCACCTCCATCTCTTTATTTTCAAGCTCCGTGATGCTTGATATGTTTCCTAATGTCATTTTCTATTCCTTTTATTTGATAGTGAAAGGCACATACCACCTTCAATTTCAGAACAAATTTGATGTACAAATATTTGAAGGGGTTGCCGTTTTGTTTTAACATCACACTTAAACTTTACAGTGTACTGTAGTATACAAACATAAGAGAAGACTTTGCCCAGCTGCAATACGTACAAATATTTCTAGAAAATCATCGTGCGTTTATCACGCATTCATTGTTGGATAAAGTAAACATTATTAACAATTCAAAAAGGCACATTACAAAGTTGGCACATAAGCTAAAACTTGACGTATTGAATGCACACAGGCTTTAGTTAAGCTATTTCGTATAGACTTATTATTTACTGAATGAACAGATGCTACCATGATGTTAACGGTTATGGTCTGGAGATACGATTTAATTACCTATATCTTGGTAGAGGATATTACTGCTAATCATTTATCACTACTTTCTTGTTAAATGAATGTTCAGATTGTTTCAAGTGCAGAGAGGAACCAATGAACATTTTAAAGTTGACAGAGCAGATATCCCTGGGATAGTTTAATGCACACAGGGGTATAAAGACATATGTAGCCATGTAGCTAACTCATATCATCAGAAAACATGCTATCTCTTAATATGCATGGCTTTCGATCCAGCTATGACATTTTGAACAGCAACCTTATAGGCATATGTCAAGATTATCTTTTCGGATCACACACCTCCATTGATGCTCAGATTGTGTTGCAAGTTCATACAGGCACCAATGTAAACAATTTGAAAAAGGCACATTT